GAATCTTTCCTATCCTGCAACCCGTTGCCTACTTTGTCACCCCCCACCTTGTGACCCTGCTGTACAGATGCCCGCATGACTCCCGTGTGCTTTTCCCTCAACACCCATCTTCCTCCTCTGGTATGAAAGTTTCTTGGGGGCAGTCTTCTTTGCACCCCCAGTATTTAGTACAGCGTCGACACGTGGTGGGCATGGCACTCGGTGACTGTTTTTCAGTGAATCCATGAATTTTTATCACCTGATTCCACCCGATTTTTTCCTATGTTGCCCACCTAACTATAATGAAATTCAGACTCTCGTAAGAGACACTTGGTGTTATAGCGTGCTTAGTAAAGGTGGTGAGTTTGAGACGTTATACCTCTTGGTGGAGAAACCCAATGAGCCTGTTCTCTGCTGAGCTGGCAAAACAAAAAACTGACCCTGAGGACTCCTTCCACGAGTGAGGCATCAGCAAATTGAGAGGAGAGAGGAGGCTGCTACAGATGGACGTCGGCGGCAACAGTTACTCAGCTCCAGACGCACCCTCAACACCTTCATCCATTCTAAAATAAACTGTGTGAAATTGTATTTCTGAACCACGAGACAGATAAGATAGTCTTTTCCAAAGTCAGGTTTAGAGGAAGATCTTCACCTTGTGTCTAAACTGCCCCTCAGGCCATTGAACATACCCACTATGACTTGATATGTCATAGAGAAATCACGGAATTTTCCAGCTGAAAGGGAATAACAGGCTTCTTACTGAAGAACAGTCAGGAAAGAAAGCATATGAAATTAGGCTACAGCAATGTATGTTCTTTATGAACGTTTTCCCACACTACAACTTAACATAAACGCATCGTTTTCCGTACCTCAAAGGTTCCTACTGCCCCCGGATAGTTTACTTCAGAGGTATATACTTTTTGCTCTGGGTGACTGGGGAGAGAAGTGCCTTGTGGTAAGTTTTCAGGAGTTCTTTCTGCTTTACCATTTAAAAGAAGCTGATGGATGAGGAAGGACCCACACTTTTGCTCCCTGGACAACTCCGTGCTAAACTTAGTTCTTCGAAGCTTTATTTTGCATGTCTTGAAGCAGTTAGGAACTTTGCACATGAGCAGGAATCAAAGTTAAATTCAAAAGTGAAATTTCAAGGACCATGCACCTATTGGAGAAGCATCATTGTCATGGAGTCCCAGGATAATGCTGATTTGGCTGTTATTTGCTTGGGGTCTTTTATTGCCCACACCAAAGCTGAGTCCTAGAGAAAGCGGAGTGTGCCATTTATGAGACAGACAAGTCTCTTGGCCTCTTTGTACCTTAGTTTCCTCATTTGAAGAAATGAATAGATTTTAAGACATACTTTTCAGAGTTCATACTAGGCTTATTACACCCACTGAAGCAATAACTGTATGGTGTTTTTACACAGTTATTTTTTTTTACATGTATTCATTTTCTATTTCACTTACAACTTGTGTAAAAACTGCATTCCATGCCAGGCCTGAAATGTTCCAAAGCTCAGTTCTGTGAGTAAATTGCAACCAAGATTTCTAAAAAAAAAAAAAAAAAAAAAGACACAAGGAAAAGAAGAACAAAAGATATTCTTTCAGAACATTTATCCTTTGGCAGGGATTCCAATTTACATATGATGAAACATAACCTCAATACTCTCTCCATACACTGAAGAAATCTCACTATGGAAGATACTTTTTAAAAAAATTTTGCATGAAAGATTTATACTTTCATGTTTATACCTGTGGTGCATTAGATACAAATCAGTAAATGTTCAATAAATACTTGTGTTAAGTAATCTTTATTTCTCTAGAAAAATGTTTCACAACAACGGTACTAGTGACATCTATGGTTGGATCGTCTTTGTTAGGAGGGGCGGTCCTGTGCACTGGGGGTTGTTTAGCAGCATCTCAGGCCTCTGCCCACTAGATGCCGTAGCTCATCTACAGTCTGACAACCATAAATGTTTCCAGACACTGCCAAATGTCATCCGGGTGCAAAATCACCCCGGTTGAGAACCACTGCTCTAGAATGATTCAGTCTGATCTGTATAAAATTCTCACACTAATCTTTGCTACAAGCAAAAAAGATTTGCTACATTAATTTTAGTAGCTTTCTACTAATAAAATTTCAATCATATTTCAAAATGATTCTAACAAAGAGGCTTACAATTAAGTTTAACAAAAATTCCAAGTATAATGAAATTATATTTGTAACTTACATAAACTGCAAAAAAGGTAGTGGTTCAAATGCACGTCTTTCAATAGATTGTATTTTATTGCAGGATAAATCTCTAGGAAAAGTAAAAGGAAAATATTGCCTCAATTATCTATTAGATATCTAATTAGTAGGATGACAGTACTGAATAAGTAGCTTTTGCCTACACTCTGAATCTCAGGAATTGTTTCTTGAAACTTCCAGAGCCCCTAACTCTACTTACCCTCTCCTCACCTCTCTTAAAAGAGTCTCACCTTCAAGATCTTCATAAATAAAATCCACAACTATAGATCTTGATAGATCTTGGAAGTAACCACTCCTGAGAGCAGAAGAATTGATTAGAGGATCTTTTGTGGTCTCATCAATTTCTAGATTATGAGGTCAAGGTTTTTATCTCCACATACAATTATAATTTCTTTTTTCAAAAGGTTTATTTATTTATTTATTTCAGAGAAAGAGAGCGAGCGAGCGAGCGAGCGAGCACAAGTAGGAGGGGCAGAGGGAGAGGGAGAGAGAATCCCAAGCAGACCCTGCACTGAGCACAGAGCCCAAGCGGGGCTCCATTTCAGGACCCTGAGATCATGACCTGAGCTGAAACCAAGAGTCAGATGCTCAACCAATTGTGCCACCCAGGTGCCCCTTATTTTATATTTTTTTAAAAGATTTTATTTTTCTCCAGTAATCTCTATACCCAATGTGGGTTTCGAACCTACAACCCCGAGATCCAGAGTCACTTGCTCTACCAACCGAGCCAGCCAGGCACACCTTAACCATCATTTTAAACACCTATTTTTAATATTGGTATAAGAATTCCCACACTGAAATCCTTAATCTGTTCTCTTGGTAACTTAATATGTATTGATAATTGATAATACTGCTTACATAATTTACCTGCTTAGTTAAATATTTAATATTTATTTATTTTAGCTTAAATTATAAAAAAATTCTGGGTTAATGGCATTCAAATTAATCTAAGTGTTCTATATTTTCTTGTTCTGTAGGTGATAATTTGAGGTTACCTTTAATTCCTCTCATTTTATTAAACCAATTTTTAGAAACCTTTTCTGTAAAAGCCAGATAGTAAGTATTTTGGGCTTTGCAGGCCACATGCCATTTCTGTTGCATATTCTTCTCTTTCTCTTCTTTTCTCTTTTATAGCCCTTTAAGATTGTAAAAATCATTCTTCACTCATAGGCTGTATAAAGACAGACCATGGGTGGGATTTGATCCATGAGCCATAAACTAAATATAAATGTAAGCAGATGGTATATGAACACTTAGGAAACAAGGTTCCTATGGGTGTCCATAATTGCTCAGACCTCATTACCCCTTTCGCTCTGTAGGGTCTTTTTCTGTCTATATCTTGTATATAAAATTAAAAAAACTGAAAACGCATAGAAGATATTTAATGCTAGAGATGGGCTGGGGCCCTACAGACTTACAGAACTGTAGAATTTTATTGTTAGAAGAAATTGTCACAATTATCTAATTTGCACCCCATATTTGTTTTATAGATAACTAAAAAGTCATAATAAATGATTAATTAACTTACAAATACTGGAGTGATAGTAGGCCTTCAAATGAGTCCTTATGTAATTCGGTCAAATAATTTTCCCTGAGAATTCTGAAAAATGAAAAGGTTATTTTTGCATCAAAATGCAAAATAACTACAACTATTTACTACCTAGGACTAACTTCCATATGGGAGAGGAAACCTGGGTAATGGTGCCCCCTAAATACACTAATTCTTATTTAATTTAGGAGTACTGATCTCTGCTCTGTTTCCATTCAAATCCTTCTTTTCATGTACTCCTTGTGTCCATCTCTCTCCATCTCTCTCTCCCTCTCTCTCTCTCTCTCTCTCACACACACACACACACACACACACACACAATCCTATCCACTCTTTGCACCAAAATGCATATTTAAAGCCTACTCTCTGGATCACAAAGTCTCTGCTAGAACCCAGCTCTCGGTGCCAACAACCCTGGCAGAACTGCCATTTCCTCCTCTCTCTTCCCAAATTCTATTCGGAAGCCCCATATACAACTATAGCAGTGTGGCAGAGAAAGCCATTGGTTTTTTTTCTCCCCGACTAAAAAATATTCTTGAGAACTAAAAAAATGTTCATTAATAAATGTTCAGTTTAGTAATTATCAAGCAAATACTCATGTAACACTATTCATGTCAAAAAGCCCTGCCTGCATCCCAGAAGCCCCCATTGTGCCCCTTCCAATCACAACCCTCTCTCTGATTCCCCAGAAGTAACCACTATCCTGACTTTAATAATAATTTCCTTGCTTTTTGGGTTTTTTTATTTTTTTCAAGATTTATTAATTTGAAAGAGAGAGGGAGGGGGAGAGGGAGAGAGAGAGAATCTCTAGCAGACTCCCCACAGAGTGTAGAGCCCTGTCCCACGACCCTGAGATCATGACCTGAGCCCAAGTCAAGAGTTGGGTGCTTAACCAACTGAGCCACCCAGGCCCCCCCAATTTCCTCGCTTTTTAAATGTAGTTTTACCTAACATATGGCAGCTGTAAACAACATAATTTAGTTTTGCCTCTTCTTGAACTCTATATAAATGGAATCATATTTTATGTATTATTTTCTATGTTGCTGCTTTCATTCAACGTTATCTTATAAATTCATTATATTGTTGCGTGTAGCTGAGGTTGCTTCATTTCAATGCCTAGTATTGCATGTCTTGCTACATGTGGCTACCGAATACTTGGGAGTAGCTAGTGTGACGGAGGAGCTGAATTTTTAATTTAGTTAATTTCAATTATTTTAAAATTTAAATTAAAAAACTGATACTCAACAGTTATTAGAAAATGTTTAAATATGTTTGCAAGGATGTGAGGTTAGCTTTTCAACTGTAAATTTTATGAAATCTAAATACAGTCAAGTATCTCTGATAAAAAAATTAGTAACCAAATTGAGATTTCAAAGAGGCAGTATGGGAAAAAGAACATAAACTCTCTCATTAACAATTTTTATACTGAGTACATGTAGAAATGATAATATTTTGGATATTTTGAAGACAGTTTAAATGTAGACTATCTTATTAATAATGTATCTAATGATTACACGTTGAAATGATAATATTTTGGAGATAAGAGCTAAACAAAATATATTAACATTTATGTCATCTCTTTTTACTTTTAATTTTTAAGTGGCCACCAGAAAATTTGAGATGACTTGTGTGGCTTACATTATATTTCAAATGAATAGTATTCCATTTTATGACGATACCACACTTTATTTATTCATTCTACTGTTGGTGGATACTAGAGTTTTCTCGTTTTTAGTTATTACAAACAGTGCTGCTTTGAACATTCTTGTACTTGTGCCTAAGTTTCTCTAGGATTTAATAGGGGTACAAAATTATTTTCCGAAGAGGTTGTGCTATTTCAGGTTGGCAGATGGAAATATGCCAAGTCTCTACCCTCCCAACCTCCACCAAAATCCCTAAGAATGATAGAAAAGATAAATTTAAAAATCCACAGCCTTAGCTCAAAGCCACGGGAGTAGCTTCACAAACACTCCCCTCCTAAGAAATGCCCTGGAGCGACGACAGGGTGGTTAGCTGGGGTCGTGCAGGAGGGCAAGCGGTGGCCCGGCAACCCCGCACCCTTCCTCCTTGGACCAGGCAACAAAGGGTGTCTTCCTCCAGCCTGGAGCAGTTGGTGTTAGGAAAGGGCAGGGTCCCAGAACCCTGAAGGCAGGGAAGGAAGGCCCTCTCTGACTTGCCACTAGAAGTCACCTCCCACCTCTTCCTTAATTCTTAGGGGAATCCACCACAGAAAAACAAGCCCCAGCAGCTCATTCCACCTCTTCCCTAGTGCCAGAAAACAGAAGCGGTAGAATCTCAACTACAAAGATAAATTGCACTCAGCAATGACCAAACAGTATGAGAAAGCCAACTCCACTAAGGACAGAAAATAAAAACAAACATAAGAGCTCAAAGCCAATGAATCAAAGTTAACGGGGAAAGCCCAAGGGGAGTTTAGAATAGCATAATTAATATCCTCAGACAGGTGTAAACAGTACAGTAACTCAAGATTATATGAATGAAAAGTGTTATCATTAATAAAAAACTCAGTCTATGAGCAGCAGAAATTGTAGTTGAATAATTAGAAAACAGAGCTCTGGCTTCTTATCAGTACTTGAAATTATATCTATTTATTATATTTACATATTTGTTTTTATATTATATATTTGTAAACCCCTCGAGAACTGGGATATTTGGTCAATTTTATTCTGGAGCCTCTATCCCAGGCATGTAAAAACAGTTCCTGGCACATAGTAGAGGCTCCATAAATATCTGTTGAATGAGTAAGTGACAGGTATCAATATGCAAACATACTACCTTTATTTAAAACAAATTATCCATTTATTATCACTGATGAGGATAAGTACAACTTAATAAATAATAATGTCTTTATAATAATAATAAATTATAATAATTTATAATAATAATAAATGTCTTTCTCCAGCCCCACCCCTTAATTTGTGACACAATCTCAATCTTTTGAGACAAGAACCTTCTGAGAATTTCAAAAAAGCTATGGACCTTTTCCCTAGAAACCTGCACTTTCTTGAATATGTGCAAAGGTGTGCACGTGATTTCAATTTGGGAATCATCCCTTCAGGGCACAGGTCTGTGAGGAGAATGGATTGAATTCGGAGGAGGGCCAAACTTGGATGGATAATAAAATGATATATCACATATTGGTTGTAGATATCTCAAAATATCATTTATTCTCATCACTACCTTGAAGTTTTAATTGTTATTGTACCTACCACTGTATCTTGTTATTTAACGTGTTAACAGAAGCAGGTTTATTGCTATATCACTAATCTTTTTTGAAAAAATATTTTGAAAACTGTATTTCAATATAATTTCCTTTTACTATATATTTTAAATTATTATACATTTAAAAACATTATCCCAAGAACACAGGCTTCTGCAGATCATCAAACAGATATATAGAAATAAAAGGTTAAAAATCCTGCCCCAGGGGACCAGTGATCCATAGTTAGGAACCTCTGCCTCAAGCTGAATTAGAAATCTGCAAATCTTACTGGATTCATGTTCTAGTATACAAACTCCCAAACACATGCTTTTGAAAAATTAATTTTTAAATTTCTATTTATTTTCTAAAAATATGTTTTATATATATGTATTCACATGGCTCAAAATTCAAAAGGTATATAGTACACAATTCAAAGTTTTTCTGCTACTCCTGTCCCTCAGCCTACCCATCGCCCTCCACTCCCTAAAGAAAAGTAATGTTATTTATTTCTTGGGCCAAATTACTTTCAGTTTTCTTACAAGTATGGGAAATAAAATCTCCAAGTCAGACACTATCATGGGGAAATACAAATTATAAATAGTATCTAAGAAATTCATAAAATAAAAGAAAATTTGCTTGGTTCTAGCATTTCTCCCTTACCAATAGGATATCAGACGAAGGGTGGGGGATCTACTTTAGTGGGATCATAATTCCTATGTTTAGATTACTATGACTACTATGTCTTTTATTACTAATTCAGGAGTCATTTATGACTTATCTACTCAAGTTGAACTCATGATACGATACACAAGCTGTCATGAAAAATGCCAGTTAATTGCTTTGAGTGTAATGTTTTTTCCAAAATCATTTGTGTCTACATTGACTTTCTCTACAAATCAATTAAAAAAAATAACAAAAAGTTGGCAAAGGACAAAAAATTCAGATAAGAAATACAAATGTTCAGTAAACAAAAAGAGATATTTAAATTTACAAGTAATCAGAAAGCTTCAAATTCAGATGAGACCCCTTTTATTCACCCATCAGATCAGCCAAGAAATGGAGAATATCCAGTGGCGGAGGGCTGTGAGGGTGTGACTGCTGTCACGGTCTACGCGTCGGAGTGTAAGTCGGCACAGCTTTTTTGAGGGCAATTAAAATTGGACATCTACCTAGTCTTCATCCCAACAATTCCATTTCTAGATCTCTATTCCACAGAAATCCTTGCCCGTGTACACAGAGATGCATGGATGAGGTGGTTCACTGCAGCAATGCGTGTGACAAGAAAACCGGACACAGTCTAAACATCCATCAATAGGGGAATTATTAAATTGTAATACATTCATACTACGGAATATGACGCAGGAGTTTACATGAATGGGGTAACTCCCTATGTACTAGAAGAAAAGAAATCTAAGACCTACCATGAAGCAAAAGAATCGAGTTGTAGGATGTTACCACTTACGTAAAAAAAAGAAAGAAAGAAAGAAAGAAAGAAAGAAAGAAAGAAAGAAGAAAGAAAATGACACAACAAACCTATTTTGTTGTCTATAAATATGTATGTAGACAAATGCATGGAAAAAGGTCTGGGAGGATATATATGAAATCCAGAGTAGTGGCTATCTCAGCGGTGGGGGATCAGAACACAAGGAGGATGTTCACTCTATAGCTATATTCTTTCATTTTTATATATTGAGAATATAATCATGTATTCCTTGTATAATGGAACATAAGTTTAGATTGACTCTAATTTTAAAGAGAGCCTGCCAAATTTAACTTTTAAAATAAACACTGAATTACAATCGATAGCGGTTGAATTGCGATATGGAGGGGGAAATACCTTTCCTCAGAGCTACTGACTTCCAAATTCTGGACCAAGAAGGATCTTAGAATGCAGTTAAGTTTTTTGTATTTGTATTTGGAGAGAATATACTCACAGTTTCTCAGCCCAACGGTATGCCTTCCATATATTTTCATCAATGTAAGAAATAGAATTTCCTTCGAAATTTCTGTAAAGAAACACAGTTCAGATCCTTGAATAGGTAGGAAAAGAATGAACAGAGTAAGTAAAAGAAGCATTGGCAACCTTGTGGGGAATATTCAAATGCAGAAAATACCAGCATTCTAATTTCCACAGCTATCAGCATCCCAGTTTGCGCAATTAAGGAAGAGATGACGTGGGGCTGCTGGCGCAAACAAGGCATCTCCCTAGAACCTGAACTTCCTATCTTGGACAGATATTGCCAGTTAATTACTTTGACTGTAAGTGTTTTTTCCAAAATCACTTATGTGTCCAAAATGGCTCCTTCGTAAATCAGTGAGAAAATAATAATTCGACAGAAACATGGCAAAAACGTATCACTATAGGCAAACAAAGGTAAAGAAATCCTAAACCAGGCAACACCAAAGCTTTGGCTCAGTGCCCTCTGTTGAAACCTCTTCAGCTGTTCGGATAAAGGAAGTTAGAAATTAGAGGAACTAATATGGAGAGATTTCTTAGACGTACTGCATAAGGAAAAGCAACAAATCACTGAGCAAGGAATAGAAGTATTACCTCATTAGGGGAAAAATTGCAAAGGAAAGCGATGGGAAGGAAGGACTCACACTGAAATGGTAACAGGAGTTATCTTACAGGTGGTAGGGAGGGTGGGGTGGGATTTTTACATTTTATCCTATATGCTTGTGCCATTTAAAAACAAACAAACAAACAAACAAACAAACAAAACCCCAGTGAGAGTGTATCCACGAATTGCATGTGTTTAAAAGAAGCCATGAAATGCCGGAGACTCCGTTTCATCCACTAACTCTATGTATTTTTACCTTTAGCTTTCCTCAGCAACAACTTACCTATTCAGTTTATAGACACATTTTTTTCTAGGGGAGTCAGAAAAGAAGGCAAAACAGGTACCCATCTGCCCATGTGCCTAGTGGCCATTTCCAGGAACCAGAAACCTTCTGGTTGCTTTATGTTCCCTGAGAAAAGATGCCTAAAGCTGAACTTAGCTCCCTCAAACTGGCTCTCCTTCCCAACTGCTGTGTTTCCACCTGTTCTTCCGCCATTGTACTGCTCATCCAGGACAAAAACTTCGAGAGTCATGTTTCATTTTTCTCTTTTCTGGACACACCCTACCCGCTACTCTCATCAGTTACTCAGTCTTGTTGCTTCTTCCTTTGCGGTGCTCTCAGGATTTTCTTTCTACTCCTATCACAGCCACTCTGATCCGGCCCCTTGTCATTTTACTCCCAGCTTTTGCTAGAGCATTCTATCTGGTCTCCCTAGATCAAGCTTTCCTCTCTAGATCGCTCTACATCGGGAATCAAAAACAATCCTCTTGTTTTAATGATATGTATGTCTTGTGGGAAAACTTTCAGTGACGCTCTATATCTCAGAGTGTAACTTTCAAACCCCTCTAGATGATAGTCAAGGGTTTTCACAGTCGTATCTTTCACAGCGTCCTAACCTAATTCCTAAGTCCTGATCGGTCTTGCAGCCGGTCTTGCAGCCGGTCTTGCAGACTTTGCCTAGACTATACTCCCTATTTTTTCTCTATTTAACAAATCATAGCCACTCTTTAAGTCTCAGCTAAAGTTTTAGCTTATCCATGCAGCTCTCCCTCACCTCCACACTCTACTGATTACAGATTTAGCTTATCCCTGCAGCTCTCCCTCACCTCCACGCTCTACTGATTACAGATTCTGGTGAATTACAGCACCTATGGTCTGTACTTAATCGTAGGTCACCTCCCTTTCTATGCCTGTTTCCTTTCTTCCCACCTATCATTTCACGTTCTAAAGACAATGTCATACTCTCATGGATCCCACAGTACTGAGTCCTGGGCTGGGCACAAAATAGGTGCTATATATAGAAGGCCAGGGGACAAAGATGAGTTCTGAACATGACTGAGGAGTCAAATAATAAGAGATAGCACTCATATGTATGCTAGGCACCAATATAAGTGCTTTACCTGTATTAACTCATCTAAATCTCACAATAAGCCCACGAGATGGTAACTATCATAATTCGCATTTTACGGAAAAGGAAATTGAATCAAAAGCTATTAAGTGACAGACCTCGGTTCAAACCCAGGTGGTCTAGTTCCAGAATCTCTACTCTTAACCACTTTGTTGTATCACCTCCAATGAGATGGAGAGAAGGACATGTTGCTATAAAGAGGATGGAGCAAATATGGGAGAGTAGAGATTAAGGAATGAAATGATGGGGATAAAAAACTGGATAAGAAAAAGGAATAAGGACAATTGCAAGTAAAAGATTGGAGAAGGGGGAACAATAGCAAAGAGCAAAACAAAGATAAGGGACAGTTGACAAAGAAAAGGTAAAAACAGAAAGTCAACATGGGTTGGGGAGATGAGGAAGGCCCAGGAAGACCTCGAAGAAAAGGCTGCCATGGCAAGCAGGAGGCAGAGAACAAATGAGGAAAGGCAATACTTACAAGGTGGTGAAGGTGCCATTGTAGGTGCTGGGCTCTGGCACAGGCACTCTGTGGAGCCTCTGCTTTGGGCTGAAACCGGTACACGACAGCGTCTCATCTTTGCAGATACAGAGCTCACATATGTTGACGTTCGTGGTAGCATTCTCTTCTGGTTGCTCAGTTAAAGTTGTGTATGACTTTTCTGGGGTATATTTTACAAAATGCAGCACTGAACGCTGGGTCGTTGGGGGAAAAACTGTCTCAGATGACTCCGGTTGCGGACGTACAGTAATTTCCAGGTCCACAGATGGAACTGTGACTTTAGTCAGGTTTGGATGTTGACTCTGAACCTGTTCTGGATGGGCAAGTG